AGTTTATAGCCATTCCCCCTCGTCCTGTCACTACATGCCCTGGTAAAAAGTCCCTCCAGCTCTCCTGTAGGCCCCCTTTAGGGACTGGAAGGCGGCAATAAGATCTCCCCAGAGCCTTCTCTTCTCCAGGCTGGACAGCCCCAACTCTCTCAGCCTCTCCTCATAGGAGAGGTGCTCCAGCCCTTGCATCATCCTCTTGGCTCTCCTCTGGACACGCTCCAGCAGGTCCATGTCTTTGTTATGTTGGGGACTCCAGAGCTGGATGCAGTACTCCAGGTGGGGTCTCACAAGAGTGGAATAGAGGGGCAGAATCACCTCCCTTGACCTGCTGGCCACACTTCTGATGCAGCCCAGGATGCCATTGGCCTTCTGGGCTGCGATCGCACATTGCTGGCTCATGCTGAGCTTGTGGTCAATCAGCACCCCCAGGTCCTTCTCCTCAGGGCTGCTCTCCAGCCATTCCCCGCCCAGCCTGGATTTGTGCTTGGGATTGCCCCGACCCAGACGTAGAACCTTAGATGTGGTTTGACCACATTTCAATGACATTGTTTTAAGTACATTACATTAAAAATGCCAAAAAAACTAGTACCGAAGGATGCATTTGGAATGCACTTTCAGACTGATGGTTTGGATATGGCTTATTACATGGTGTTTTATGTATTTAGACTCCTGACCAACTTCAGTGTTTCCCGAAAGAAAATTTCAATGAACTCTTGGTTCAACATATTGTAAATATTTTCATGGTTTCACTGAACTACCACCCAGACTTCATGAAAAACTATTTCATGTAGAAAGAAACATGATGTATTATAGCCAATATTTGAAATCAGTTCCAGAACTGTTTCCACAAAGAATCCACAAATAACTGGAATGCCTACACCCAGAAAAATAAATAGCAATGTATCTTGTAGCAAAGGCTAAAGGGAGAATACAAGATGCAAAACAGGAAATATCTATTTAAAAGGGTAACATGACATGTTTGATGCCCATTAAAAAAATACATCAGCAGACACAATAACTTGTGTTAACATAACTAAATGTAGGTTATTCAAAAAAAAGATAACAGCTCATCTTTGACCACAGAAAATTTTTTCTCTACAATTCTACTCAGTTTGGTAATTTAGTTAGAGCAAATCATATTTCTTGCAGTTTAAAACAACTAATCCATTATTGCATCAAATCCTCAAACATCAAACACCGAGCCATGCATTCATAACTTTCATCATTCACAGATCCTAAATAAAGAAACTCCTTCAAGCCAGCACCCCATGCCATCAAATTAAACACCAAAGGGCAAGCAGGCATTGTCTGAAGAGATGCAAAAGACGTGATTCCTGAGAGAAAAAGAAACGATAAAGACAGATTCTGTCCAAACCAATCACTCGTAAAACAAAGCATTGATTCACTGAAGACAAACCACAGTTCACTGCACTTACCCAAAGTACACGACAAACCTTTCTGTCTCTACCCTGTCAACACAGAAAGAAAGAAAGAAAGGGGATGGGGGAAGGAATGAAAATGCCACTTGCTTGAATTTCAATAGTACTAATCTCAGAAAAGAATAATAATATTTCAAAAAAGGAAAAAAAGAAACAACACAAAGCTTTATTTTTTCCTTTCTAACTGCTAATAATATTCATTTTATGAGAACCCTACGGGCCTGGAATTTTCCTGTTGACTCATGCTAGCAAGTGGGCAGATCCTACTTGGGAGAAATGACTCCATGACCAATTCAGCATGTCAAGACCAGTTTGTGGTACACCCTACTAATCCCTCCTCCAAGGGGTCCATTACTGCCAGCCTCTGTGCTTGCTCTCAACTGCACCAGCAGCCACATTTATAAAAAAAAAATCTACATGCCTTCATGGTATATTTCACCAGTCTGCCAAAGTAATGATAAAAACACGGTGGGAGTTATAACAGGTACATACTAAACACTATTTTGGCACAAAATCACGTCAAAATTTATTTTTGATAATTTTTCAGTTAACCAGATTACCAAAGTAAAATACCAATATAAAAACATAACAAACAAAACCACAAAAATAAGAAAAGAGTATTTGCTAATCTCGAAATTGGTTCTGTTTCGGCCAAGCACTTATAGCAAAACTACCACAACAAGTCAGATGAAAGGGAAGTGTTATTCTGCAATGGCAATCATGCATTTTGACTTTCTTAATCTAAGATAAATATATATTAAATATAAAACCTGTATCTCCTATCAAAATACCATATGCAGATTGGTAATCATTTACAAAGTGAAAATCTGACTTTGCTAATCTCAAAAAGAACTCAGATTCGTAATTCAATAGACGTAAGAATTCACGCTAAATTTTGAGAACATAAAGCAAATACATTTCAAGATACATTCTTTCAAATAGAAGATCTGAGTTAATAGAAATTTCTCACCGATTTCCAGTGAGGCTCAATTTTTAAATATTATATTTTGAGATTTAATTCTCAAAATTGAGACATTCTTACTGCAGAAACACGTGCAAAAGTGTTCCAAACCCATCAAAGTATTAATACAATGAAAAGATCGAGGAGAAAATTCCGGAGTTGGCAATGCTAAAATTTAATTCTATCGCTAAGCTGTTGGTAATATAAGTTACAACAGAGAACACAAATGAACCATTATGTTAAGTCAGTTTTTGATAGGTATGTACAAGCTTAAGTAGTTAAGACATAATAATTCATCAGAAAGTGAAAGGGCATGCCAGAAGTAAAACCTCTCTCAGCTTCATGAAGTTACACTGCATGAGTCCAAACACAGCTCAGACAAAAAAGCCTGTTAAGACCAACAGTGGGGTAGGGCTAAAATCTACTATTATTTCATAGTGCACAGCGGCAGCACAGCAGAAATCCAGAGGGTAGCAGAAATGAAACAGTCACAAGGTACCATGAGGTGTGCATCTTCAGCATCTCCAGGTGTGCTTTGAAACAACTGAGAAGACTGGCAACACCTTATGCCTATTAAACAGTCACAGCATCAGTCAGATCAGAATCTAGAGAACATGCAGGTCAGAAAGCAACTAGCCGGATTCAGCCCATTCACTGCTAAAGGAAACCATTGTTTGGGAGGTTTCTCCATCCAAGTCCCATTTTCAACACTGGGAACAGTTGATTGATTGATCTGACTGTGATTTCTCTGTATCACTGGCCAGATTGCTATCACTGCTCTGACATAGAAAATGTTGGTTACTATTCAAAAAAGGGACAAAATAGCCTATGCAAAAATGGAATAGAAGCACCTGGGTTTAGGCTTCCAACTCTGAGCTGCTGAATGGTGAGCAATGAACAATAGGATCCCTTGTGTCTACACTCTGAAGTACACACATATAAATTCTCATAAAATTCATGGAACAGTCACCAGGTGACCTCCTGGCTCGACCTTGGATGTGTCTCCTCGCTGTGGACCTGCCTGGCGATCGCTGGGCTGTGCCTGACCGTGGTGACCATCACCAGGCCTAAACCTGATGAGTGTTCCTGGCTTGACCTGCCCCATCGCCATGACCATGCCTGATGCCCTGGACTGCGAGTTGTCCTCAGTCACCTGCTCCAGCCTGCTCTCCTGCCTTGCTGGGGGTGGTGGGATGGGCCCCTGCTGCCTGACCAGCTGTGTTATCAGGCTGGACTCCTGTCTCTACGCCACCCCACAGGCCACAGGCCACCATCTATCAGCTCTTCCTATGTGCCCTGACAATGTTCAAGAGCAACGCGCTCTTATGTAGAGTCCTCTCATCCCACAGTAAAGATGTCCAAACTGCCATGGAGTGCACAGACCTTTTTCACTCTGTTGTATGTGAAACCACCTCTTTAGGCCCTCCTCTAACAACAGTGTGGAAATGGAACAAAAATGGCTATTCAGAACTTCCAAAACTCACAGTTTGCCCCTGGGAGGGCATTTAGAAGTAACAATAAAAGTAAAAACAGCTCCTTGTACACGGTTTCTCAGCCATACCAAGGAGCTCCAGCTACTCGAGACAGCACTTGACCAGGAGTAAGGACATCACTCTCGCTGGGAAAGCCACTTGGCTTTTTTTCTCCTCGACTTAGCTTTTCCTGTAAAACAGCTATCAGTGGACACGAAGTTTCATTTTACCACAGAGGATAAGCCCTGCCAATGTTTATGATGCTCATGTAAGAAACACAATCTCAAACTGCATAACTGTGTTTTCCGTGCTGAAACAGCTGTGAAAAAAGCCACTTCCCATATGACAAATCTCATGCCAAATGGTGTGCATTCAGGGAAATTTTTTCCTTAAAAAAACCCCTTAATTATTCTTTAGCAAGAACTACAGATTAATTAGGACAACTAACAGAAGCCTCAAAATGTTTCATGCACTTTTTCAAGCACATAGTAGTACAAAATGCAGAAATAAGATTTTGGAGTTTAAAGTAACATGGGAATTTCAATGTTATTATGAACTAAATACCACTGCAAATATAATAATAATAATAACAATAACAACAACAACAATGCAATGTGGTCAAATTTGATAGCTTTAGACCAAGAATTGGGATTCTGAAGAAAGCGTATGTTTTGAAAGGCAGCTGAGACACTGTGAATCTGTATTGCTGTTACTGTTAAAAACACAGCTCTCTGAAAAACTCTCTTTTCTCTCAGGGTATCTCAGAAAAGGTGCATTCAGGTTGGCTGTGGAACGTTACTCAATTTGCTTCTTAAGCTTGTAGTCAGTGTTCCCCCCTTCTTCATTTTTTTCAGGATTATCTACTGATTTAATTAGTGCAGGACCTAGCTTTAAAGAACAGTATTAAAGTAGGATTTGCCACATCGTAAACTCCACAGTGCTTCTCATCAGAGGGAACACCTTCTCTCCAGGTCTAATCCATGAATTATTTGATTTTGGAGGCTATTTTAATTTTTGTTAGTCATAGCAGGAGATATATGGTGCTATTATTTTGAAAAGTAATAAAAGCTAGCAGTAGGTGTCCAGCAGCATTCATTTAAACATTCTACTACTATTTTCAAATAACCTTTTCCTCATCAAAACAAAGTCTGATGAAACCCTTGAAGGAAAAGCCAGCATTTCACACAGAAAGAGTTAATTCATATAGCATCACATGTATTACTTAATAGAAAAATTACTTAAGTAAGGAACATAAGTACATTTTTGAAACAGCTCCTCTAAACAGTATATTAGTGTTTCTGTGCATGCCAGTGCTGATGGCAACCCACAACATGCAAACACTGCTTGAGCCCTGAATTAAGGACCACAGACCATATGCACTGCTTGAAATGGGCCTTCTGTGATTTGCTAATTTTTTGTCATGAGGTAATCTCTTAAACACAAAAATGTTAAGGACTACCCGACATTTCACAAGGAAATAGTCAAACCCATGTTTTGCATTTGCAATTTTTAAAAAATCTATTTTCTAAATTTACTCAAGACAGAATTTCAGCTTATGGAAACTTGGATCGCATCACAGAAATCACTAGAACCATAAAAACCCCCATGTTGCATTGCTTCAGTTTTGCTTTATTGTATATAGTAAATGAGATTTAGGTTGTAAATATGTGCATGAATGTGCTCTGGCATCCGAAATTATATGAGTCATGACATAAAAAACCCCCAAGAACTGAGCATAAGGACTATTTAAATACTCATCGGTTCATAGGTTATCATTTTCACAAATTAAAATCAATTTATCAGTATATTGCTGTTTGCAGACCTCAAAGTCTGCAAGTTCTCACTCTCAGCATCATTCGCTGGAGAGTGCCAACACAACCAGCGTGCCCTGGAGGTCCTGGACGACAACTGCCAGCAGGAGAATACATTGTGCAGGAGGAAAAAACAGCAATCAGATTTTTAATAAAACTGATTTCTATTTGTGCTTACCAGGTAAAACGAACAGCCCTAGTATGTATATATGCTTTCACAAAGCATACACACAATTTCCATGGCCTGTCCCACCTACATTCATCAAGAAGACCCAGGCCTTTTCTTTCTCATACTGATTTCACTACAGACATCTGGCTTTATTTATGTTTAGTTTCAATTCAGGCCTATTCCGATACAGGCAGGCATTCAACCTGAAGCTGCTCCTAAAAAAAGAAAATATGAAGAAGCTTCAGCAGATACAGGATTGTCTTGCTTCTGTATTACTCATTGGTCTTCTTTGAAAGAATGTTCTTCATGATATACATTGGCCTCCATTTTGTGGATAGAATTCAGAGTTATTTTTAATATCTATGGCCTACAGCTAAAGGCCATAGAGCAAGGAAGAAGCATACTATTTCTAATGGCTTGGAAAGTTTCTTTTATAGTTATGGATGCAATCAAAGCTGGTTTAAATTGTAAACTGCCTTAACAACACCACTGAGTTGTAAATAACATCCTTGTTAGAACTAATTGTTTTTATTATTTTATCCATGCTATCACTAATTGCAATAAATAGAATGCTTATGAACGTATTTTGATGTCTATAGTTTCATTAAAGTTCTTACATGCTCTATTTTCTTACTGACTTATGCTACAATTTATAGAACAGTACAGGCAAATCCACAGCACAGTGCATCTTTGTTTTCCTGCTAATTCACTACTGCTGTGCGGTGCTGGCTGCCAGCCTTGGAAACCAAAATCTTCTGTTCATCCAGAAAATACAAACTATGCAGAAAGCAATAGCACAAGCTTACACACATAACCCTGCCAGTATCCTTCAACCCTGATTTGAAGAGTCATCTCCAGTACTGAAAGGATGATCTCCGCAGTCATTCCATTCTTGGCTTCTGCTAATGCTGCAGTTGCCAAATTTCACTCATAGCCTTGAGGGACGCTATCCAGGTCTGGAGAAAAGTTCAAATTTTACCTCATTCATGTTTTCTTCTTTTTCCAGGCCAGACCACCTGTTCCTTACTTCACTCTCTGACCTCACCAAGTGTGGGGAAGATGCTTACCACTGCTGTGCTTTTTACCAGCCACTTCATGGTCAGCAGAACCTGCTACTCCCACCATAACCAGTGAAAGCAGAACAGTGGTTATGTTTGTTCAGTTGCCAGTTCAATCCTCATCACAGTCACCATTTTCAAGGCACAGCTTAGGGTTACTACGCAGGGTAAGTGGCAGACAGATGTAGTTACACAGACCTGCAGAGCTGTCAGAACTTAAAAAAGTAACCTTTTACACTGTCTACTTCCTCTACTTACCTATTTGTTTCCTACCCTTCTACTTTGATTTTTCGGGCACCTTACACAACTTCTTCACAACTTTGATCATCATTTCTAATCTTAGTTTCTCCCTTTGTGCCAGAGACTCTAACGAATTCCTTCAGAGGAACCAGTTTCATCCACAGGGAGGAACGCAGAGAACCACTTGCAATATTCTCCACTTGTTCTTGACTTGAACAGGACTGTGAAAGCAGTGAGTAGCCACAGTAGAATGAAATAACTCATTCTGCACTAGATGCATCCACCAGCCAGCTTCTATAGGAGCAGGCCAATCCTGCAATGGAATAACATCTTTCTTGTATGACAGAATGATGTTCAAAAAACATACTTTCCAGAACAGGATCAGTAACAGCTTGAGGAGCTGGTTGCTGGTTTGCTAGTATGCAATTACCATGCATATCTGGTGTTGAAGCTCCCAAGACCTAGTTTGCACTCCCTATATAGGACAAGAATGCTTCTGCATAAGATAAGGACTGCGTAAGCAGTAAATGTTCAATGTGGATGCTGCTGCTGGCAGACCCCTATTAGCATGTTTCCAGAAAAAGTGGAAAAATGTACCTTAGACTAATAGGATGTAGTAGAAGTGCTGATATTTCTAAACTATATATACAATTGAGTTGTTGGAAGCAGGACAGAAGACATAGTAAATCAAAGTGGGAATACGCTTTTGGGTATGGACTAATTTAAGTATTCTGAGTATTGTTCACATACAGATAATACTATCTCTTGAGGTCCCTTACAGCCTTAATTATCCTAGAAGCCAGATCTCCTGCAGAAGGGAGAGTATAACACTGTGCTTCAGAATCACCACTGCTCTCTTTGTAGCCAAAGAGTGTGGTAATGGTCACACTGGGCTATTTTGGAAGCCAGGAGTTGTGATGGAAGTATCTAATGATCAAGAGCAAGCAACACTGAACATGCAGATCGAACAAATAAAAAGTTGATCTAATTCTGCAGTGACACCCTAGCTATAAACCTTTTTCTGGCTGAAACAGTTATGCATTTCTCTCTACTCATCGTTACAGTTTTCCCAATTATTTCACTAAATATTACTTTTCTGAAAAGATATGCACTATAACCAAGAGCTATAACTAAAGATAAAAGCTGAAAGAACTTTCTAAATAGCATATATTACTCTCATCAAAATATAAACAAAATTAATTCATTAAATAATAAATACAACACAGTGTCTTATATTGATCTCTAGTCAAAGAAGAATCCATACACGGTCTGAATCAAGGGCCTGATATTCCTTCAGGCACTTCATTCCTTATCAACCCAATGAAGGCAATACCTGTTAATGAATACTGTGCTAAATTGGTATCTATAAATTGAGTGTTGCAACTGATACATATGAATAAAGATTAGGGTACAATACCTGTCCAAAGTTAATAACACAGTCTCATTCATTTCAGGTATATCATCAGCTTTAATAGTAATGTTGATTGTAGTATCACTTTGTCCAGATAAGAAAACAACGGAGCCGTTGAAAGGGCTTATATCATCGTGTGTTACTGCCTTTTGATTGAGACCAGAGGGTTTCAAACTCCAAAACACAGTTGCTTGACCATCGGTCCCATCTCGATGCAGTGCAATGGAAACCTATGAAACACATGGGTCTCTTGTGACTTGTAAAACAAGACGCAAAACCAATTACCTCCTTTCAAATTACTATTTGAATATGAGCCTCAAAATGTTGAGCTTGTTTTTTTACTCATACCTACATATAAGGTATGAAATCAAAGATGGTATATCCACGAAAGTACATACTGAACCTTATCCTTTTAACTATTTATCAGTTATATACTGAAACAGTGGAGATGACAGATTATTAATACCACAAATCACTAAGCAACCATAAACACAAAAAGCCTTGTATGACTAATTTAATCGGTGCCCACTTCATCAAGACACAACCTACGTTTTAAATGTAACTGCTCTACAACAATATGGTTGTCATAGTACAGTGCCAACCTGTACTCTGTTTAAGCTTTAAGCAATTTTAATCTGAGAATAGGAAATGAGTTATCTGATCCAGGATTGGTGGAAAGATTCAGTGAAGACAACTGGGGAAAAAAGGGAAAATGTAGAAAAAGAAAACATTTAAATAAAGGTTTCTCCAGCTGGAACTAAAGCACTCAGATGGATGACAATGCTTTTGAAAATGCTTCTTTGCGTTCTCAGAAACCTAAAAAGCATAATTGTTTGTAAACGCACCCAGGGAGCCAAATTGTATATTCACATGTAAGTAAGTCAGCTACAAGATACAGACATTTCCATGAAATGGAGGAGCGATATCAATCCTACTTTGCAGTTGGTGAGAGAGATTAAACCTGCAGCACCTTTTGTTCCGTGTGAACATCAAGGCCTAACCAGTTTTAGATGCTTACAGAAAAAGGAAAGATCAACCTCACTTTTCTGATAATCACTAACACATAATTTCAGACTTTAGTTTTACAAGCACTTTTTTTCCTTTTTTTTTTTTTTTTAAGCAATGGAATATTTGGGATGAGGCAGAACTTAGAGGAAGGATTTTCCTCATATTAACTCAAATGCTACACTGAATATAGCAAATTTTGCTTTCTCCAAATAAATTTTCCATATTAAGGGACAATATAAAAAGGTTTACTTACCACTGTAGCAGGAGAATCTTCTGGCTCAGAAAGAATAATTGGAAGATTGCTAATAAAGCCTATTTCTCCATTTGCAATATCTGGAGTAATCCTCAGAGAAATATTTCGAATCTCACCTAATCTGGGACTCACAGGTGGGACTAGAGGAATTCTATTCACCAGCTCAACTTCTTCCAGCTGTAGGAAAAAGTAAGAAAAAATTGAGAAATAAGAAGCCTTAGTACCAAATTGAATCAATTCTGACATTTCAAAGTATGTTTCATATGGGGGAGAAAAACATCTCCAGAACAAATTTCTCTTACTGGCAATATTGCTGTTACAAAAATTTGTAAGGAGATGTGTGAAAGAAATTAAGTGGATACTGTTGAGCTTTGAATGGTATACCCCTCAGACAAATCATATTCATGTACATAACTAGATGTACGTAGAAGCAGAATGAACCTTCTAGACTGGCTAATTCATTATTAGACCTATGAATAACAGTACTGATTTGACAAGTGGCCCAAGCTATTGCTCTAACTTCATTTTTTTGTGCCATGCGTTGATAAAAATCTGCTGAAGTCACTGGAACCATAATAATTTACAGCCTCTGATGAAGCCAAAGAATGCGCCAATCTTCTTTCCTCTCTCAGACAACTTTAAGGACTTCTCTATTTATAATAACTAAATGATTAGAAATGCATTCAGAATTGAAAATCAGTACAGTATTTCAATACTGCAGTCTCCTCTCATGTTACCATATCTCTGATGTTGATAGTAAGAAGAAACAGAAAAATGTTTATCCTTTCTTTGACTAGGATGTATCCCTCATTAAACCCAGCAGCAGTACTGACATAGTACGGAAAGCAGGACTCGCCTGTTAAATATTTCTTTCAAATATAATTTATGCCATGCAATTCTGTCTACATGTATTATTATAATAAATGTTTCCATCGCTGATTTGCACATACTTCTTCAAGCACTTTACTGCAGCATGAGCCCTCAATGACAACCACCTTTAACTCCTACAAGGATGCTTTCTGCTTGGAGTTATCAGATGTTATCAAACAGTAAGGTTTTATTGGAGTGGAGGGGAAAGTGGCCTTATTTAAATCCAAATAGTGATCACAAATCACCATTTCAACTGGTGATTTTTAAAGTCCTTCAATTCTTAAAACCAATCTATATAAAATACTTGGGTTGTATCATACTTTTTCCCACCATTGTTTGAGTAACGCACAAAAGATATTCACCCACATTTTATTTGATGATAGATGGAACTGTTTTACATATACTGTATTCAGTAAATGATTCTCAACCACACCAGTTATTTACTGAGAATCTGAGGACCAGATGGTGGGACTATTTGTTTCACTTGTTTTCTAAGCTATATTTAAGAGTCGGCCCCGGTCCTGCAATTAACAATATGGAGGTGGACCATTGTGCAGTTGTTAGCTCAGTAAAGTTTCTGAAATATTACACAGCTGAAACAATTCATTTTGTTAAGTGCTTCTGATCCTGAGACAAAGCCAGCAATTAAGGGGGTTTTTTTGATCCAGCGTTTCCTCATAAAACAAATCAGTTCACGAGGAGAAAAGAATGCATTGTGAATTGAATAATAATGACGAGTAGTTTATCAAATTAGTTAATCTTCCTGTCCATACCAAAAACTTCAGACTACAGTAGGTTATTTAATTGAGGATGTCACTGAAGAATGTTAATCTCACTTTTCCAGTTCCTCTACCCATTCTCTAGTTGTGTTTAAGCTTCATTTCCTCCTCCACTCCTCCTCCCCCGATTCCTGAGTTGGTCCTTTATTGTGCCTAGTACAAACTCTGTAATCTTCTCATTCTAAACATGTTCACTGAGATTATCGTTTATTCACAAGGTAGAAGGATTGTCATAGTGATAAATAGGGACATTTTTCTTCCTTCTCTACAAGTTTCTAAATGAATTTTCTGTGCTGGAAAGCCCCTCTGATTTTGTTTATTCAAACAAAAAGATTTTTATGGTTCATGGAGAAAGTACAGAACATTCCCCCGCCCCCGCCTCCCTGGAATCCGCAGTTTGAAAAGCCAGGCAAAGTGCCTGCATTCTGAAATACTTATCATATGTGTGTCTTGTCCATAGTCCACTTTGCAATGTTATTTATAGTGTATCACCTAAAAAAGGCTTGGAATTAAATATTTCAGTTCTTCTGTAGATCTTTTGGATCCTGTGCAGATGTAAAACATACCAACCTATTCTAGTACCCCAGAACGCAATTCCCTATCTAACTGTGAATGCATACTAGTAAAGCAATAACACAATTCTGGTGAGGATTTTTTTTCTCTTTTTTTTTCTTTTTTTTTTTTTTTAAGAGAATGTGGGGAGAAGGAGGTAGAGGGAAGAAATCTTTTCAAGGTCCCAGAAGTAATTAATACATCACTATTAGATGTAAGTTAAAGACAAACCCCGGCAAATTCTAAATCTATGGATTTAATATTAACATCTTTATTTGAAAACTCTAAAGACATCTGACTTAAAATTAAAAAAAAATAAAAGGAACTAAGAAATGCCTCTAAAGGAAAAATGGCTCTGATTTGTGCTTTGGATGTGCCAAATCATCCCTTTTTGTACCAAGATCTCTACCTGGGCTCTTCATCTCAGAGGACCAGAGTGGCATAGTTAACTGTAGGAACTAGAGATGATGGGGCAGTCTTTGATGCAGATGAGAAAATAATCATAACAAATACTGATGACAATGCCCAGGATAATATCTTGTTAAAATGATAGCAAACTTGGTTTTCTGCAGTGAAAAATGAAAGCCCTCTTTGGAAGGTAGAAATCCCATCTTTAAATATTTTTTTCTGAAAATCCAGTTTTCTGTCAAAACCACTGTTTCAGTGAATTTTTCTAGCCAGTTTGAATTAGCAATGACAGAAGTTCCCTTCTTACAAATTTAGAAAGAAAAAAAAAAAAAAAAAAAAAAAAAGAGGAAAAAACCCCAAAAGGGTAGCAGGGAACACTACACAGAAAAACTAGAAGAAAAATTTTATTCTCTGGCCAAATTAATACATAAATGAAATAAAATATATGTTCAGCTATTTAAAGTTTATATTTACTTGCTTGTAATTTCTAAAATTTGTCATGCTTCTGTAATTTAATTTTAAGAACCTTAGTTTGGTTAAATTGAAAGCCAAGGGGTAGACCAAGAAACATATCTCAAAAGGTAACTAACTTCTGCAACATTGATCTTAATTTGTTAAATTCCATGATTAATACCTGAATCTTCTTACAACAGTATATTTTTTCAAAAATTATGTAATTAGTAAATAATAATTAGCAATAGAGTTCTTCATGGCATATTTATGGAAGCTGCCTCTAAGTAAGAAAATTTTCTTAGCTACAGAGCTAATAACTTTTTTTTTCTTTCTTTTTTTTTTTTTTAACAGGTAGGGTCATTTTAGTTAAATGAAATGGGAAGGAGCCACTACTAAATTATATCCTTTATATTACATGAGCTAAAAAACCACCCCAAAACACAACTGAGATACCTGTATGAGGAAATGAGCCCCATTTTGAAGAAATGCATCATTTCTTATTGGTATATTTAAAGTGTCTTGTGTTTTTCCTTCTGGAAACATGAGAATGCTTCTTCTAGACATATTCAGAATGCCATCTTTCGCTCTCTCAGGATCCAGAGCTCCAGCTGGAATATACAGTGCAGTATAAACCAACTGCACATCTCCAACTGTTCCCCTCTCCCTTGCAAAACTCAAGGATAAAAAGCGTCCCATTGGATTACTTTCAATCTTCTGATTCTCCAAAGGATAAAATTTTATTAGGCCATAAACATCGTCACTGTCCTGAATGTAAAACAAAAGCTGCAAAACAGAAAACAGCATCACTCACTCTGTGCTCCCGTTACTCTATACCATAGTTGTCGTGCTTTCACAAAAGCACGTCCTGACTGTCACCATACATTTTTCTCCTTAGTGAACTGGCACTCAAGAAAGAAATCAGATTGACAGCCCCAAAGTATTCTTTGTACGCAAGCAGCACAACACTGACTGTGGCAACTTTCCTACTACGCATCATCCATGTGCCAGAATGAGCTCTGAAC